ACAGGTATGTACCCAAAGGATACCTTCATGTGAGTGTACGTTAAAACACAATTCACACCTGCAAAGAGGTGGAATTATCCCCAGTGCCCATCAATTCATGAGTGGATTAATAAAATGTGTATATGTATACCATGAAGTATTACTCAACCATTAAAAATGTCAGTTAATACCTTTTCTAACAATCTGGATGGAACTGGAGACCATTCTCTAAGTGAAATATCTCAAGAATGGAAAAAAAAACACCACTTGTACTCGCCATTAAATTGGAATAACTGATGAGCACTTGTGCACAGAGAGAAGTAAAACTCAGTAGAACTCAACTAGGGAGGAAGGGTGAGGTGGGACAAGAAATAAACGAATCTAATAGGTACTATGAACACTATTTGGGTAATGGACACACCTAGAGCCAGGACTCAAGAATTACAAAAATGATTCATGTAATGTAACATTTGTAACCTCCTTAATATTTTGAAATTTAAAAACAATGAAAATGGCCTCTGTAATTCTAGCACTGAGAGGGTGGACTGCTCGAGCGCAAGACTTCAAGACTAGCCCCAGCAAGAGCGAGACCCTGTCTCTACCAAAAATAGAAAAAACTAGCTGGGCATCATGGTGGGGGCCTATAGTCCCAGCTACTTGGGAGGCTGAGGCAAGAGGATCTCTTTAGCCCAAGAGTTGTGAGGTTGCTGGGAGCTATGATGATACATATGTTTAGAATAAGGTTAAATAAAACCTGCCTTCTGTGGTGTATTTGAGAATTTAGTCAGTCCTATAAAGCAGTGATGTATATAGTACCTTCACCTATAACCCTTCTCCCTCTTTCTGGCTCTCTCAGCTATTGGTGCATGGATTATGGCAGCCAGACCACATGTCCCCCATCTTCCAACCCTCTCTGGGGACTGTACATTGCAGAAATCCTGTGTCCCCAAGCACATGATTTGGAAAAGGCTCTTTCTCCCTTGCTTGCAAACTTTTCCGTTGCTGAGATAGCAAATGAGGCAAGCACCAAGCATGGCCCAGCCTCCAGATCCTGAGGCAGGTCCAACTCAGAGCAGTGATTTTCCACCCACACCCCGTCACCTGCCACACAAGAGCCTTGAGTGTCCAACGCAGCCTCAGCCCTCAGCCTGTGCTGGCATCCAGGAGAGGTCTTATGCAAGCAATGTTGTCACCTCTGGAGACAAGCCTGGGTGTTCAGTCCCCTCATTGGCTGCCTCCTGGATATTTGATAATCATAAACCACAGGGTCAAAGAGCTGTTTGACTCCCTAGGGAGCTCCATGTTCATGTCCCTTTTGTGGTCACGGACAAATGAGCCAGGAGTGGGAGACCCAGGGAACAGCTGAGGTGCTCACCCTCCT